GTCCTGAGGCAAGCCTCTGTAGACAGTCTCTAGACTTGCCCTAGTATCAGGTGGAAATCTAAGCCTTGGTAAGACAGACTTGTTTTGGTTTATATCACCACCAACTTCTTGTGAGCCTCATGTGCACCCCTACGACTACACAGAGCCTGGTAATTGTGAGACCCAGATATGACCCAACTAGAGCCAGCCTGAGTACCTGAGGGGCTGCCTCTAATCCCCCTCCTGCAACCCGGGGCGGATAGACAGGAATCACAGGACTGTTTTAGGAATAACCACCAAGCAGATAAAAAAAAAATTGCAATGAGCAGATCCTAGCTGTCTCTGTCCCCAGGCTATGGCCTGCAGCAGAGCCTCTGGACCGGCTTCAGTGCCCAGAGGAGTTCTGTGGTCCCAGTTGAGCAGTCTTATATCCAAGCCAACATTATCAGAGACAGCTAGGTATAGCACTGATTAGTGAGCCCACCTTAGCAGCAGACAGAACATAGAAGGGTGAACTTTGTTCCTACCCCCAGGCTGCTCTGGTCTTGATGGGCTGAGAGCTCCACAGGTGATCTAGTATTGTAGCATCCATGGACACTGGATGAGGAGTCTGTGCCTACCACAGACCCAGGAGGAGGCTTTATAGGGACAGAGCATGCCTTTTTAGGAATTTCTCCAGTTCATACTGAAGAACAGATCAATAGAATGTTTCAGACAAATTTGATGTGGGGAGTATTGTAAGATGCAAGCAAGAAAACATCAGCAGTGGACGTAGGGCAAACCACAACATAGGGTGCTATCTAGTGCTGAAATAGCAAAAGAATCTATAGGCTCAGAGTAAATAGATTACTTAGAATTTCTAGAAGTACAGCCACAAACAAAGCCAGATTACTATAACTAATCCTTCAATGCTCAGATGATGTGGTACATTAACAAGTATCAGGAACTTCCAAGGAACCAAAATTTCTCCTAAAGACCAAAAAAAGTGCCAGAAACCAACCATCTGGGAACCAAAATTTCCAAACACTTGGATGAAGATTTCAAAGTAGCTTTTTAAAGAAATGCAATGAAATTCAAGAGACTATAGGGATATTAATCAGTATTTTAATAGAGAGATTTGAAAGAGTGATGGAAGTAATTGAAAGAAATCAAGCAGAACCTGTATGGGAAACCAGGAAGAAGCACCTGGCTCCTGGCTTCGGATCTGCGCAGCGCCGGCTGTGGCATCCATTTGGGGAGTGAAACAGTGGAAGGAAGACCTTTCTCTCTGTATCTCTCTCTGTCTGTGGCTCTACCTGTCAAAAAAAAAAAAAAAGGCAGAAATCCTTCAACTGAAAATTACATTACATTAAGAGAAATTAAAAGCATGATAAAAGACATCAATAGCAGAATAGATTAAACAGAAGGAAAAATTGCTGACCTTGAAGACAGGCTATTTGAAAATACATAGTTTCAGTAGGAAAAGAAAAGAAAACCAGGAGTAATAAAGACAGCTTACAGGAAACATGGAATAGCATAAAAAGAGCAAATATTCAAATTATTGATATTTGAGTCATTGAGAATACCAAAGGGGTAAGAAGCATGTCCAAAGAAATAATAACAGAAAACTTCCCAAACCTAGAGAAAGAAACAACTATCCTGGTACAGGAAGTCCAAAGGTCACCAGTCAGATTCAATCCAACCAAGGTTTCCCCAAGATATTTTAAGTCAAGCTCCCCGAGAATAAAGATAAAGAGAGAGTTCCCAAAACGCAAGAGAAAAGAAGCAAATAACACATAAAGGGATCCCAATTAACCTGACTGAAGAAGTCTCAGCGGAAAACTTACAGACCAGGGGACAGTGTTGTGGTGCAGTGGGTTAAGCTGCCACCTGCAACGCCAGCATCAATATGGGCACTGTTCGAGTCCCGGCTATTCCACTTCTGATCAGGCTTCCTGCTAATGGCCTGGGAAAAGTAGCAAAAGATAACCCAAATGTTTAGGCCCCTGCCACCCACATGAAACACTTCAATGAAGCTCCTGGTGGCTGGCTTCAGCCTGGCCCAGCACAAGCAATTGTGGCCATTTGGGGAGTGAACCAATGGATGGAAGATCTCTCCGTGTGTGTGTGTGTGTGTGTGTGTGTAACTCTGCCTTTCAAATAAATAAAATAAATCTTTTTCAAAAAAGTAAATAAACCTTACAGGCCAAGTGGGAGTATGATGAGCCTTTTACAGTGTTGAAGGGAAAAACTTGCCAGCCAAGAATATGGTATCCAGCAAACCTGTCCTTAAGATATGAGAGGGAGATAAAGACAGTTCCAAACAAATAGAAGCTGAGAGAATTTATCACCACCAGATCTGTCTTATAAGAAATGCTACAGTGACTTCTTCAAACTGAAAGAAAGACACACTAACAAAAAGGAAAATATCAGAAGGTAGAAAACATATTGAGAAAAGCAACTCTACAAATTCAAAATGTCCTAACACTACAAACATGTTGTATAAACAATTCATATCTTTACTGTGAAAACTAAAAAAATTATGATCACTACATTAATATGTTAAGAGAGGCAATATTGAAAGAGATCAAAGGTAACATCAAAAGTTAAAAGCATGGAGAAAAATGGAACACAATGTAGAATTCTTTAGTATGATTGCTCATGGCTTTGGTTTTCATTTGTTTCTTTCCCTATCTTTATAATCAAAGTAAGTTGTTATTATTTCAAGATAGTTTGTTATACCTAAAAGAAGTTTTATGTAAGCTCCCTGGTAGCCACAGAGCAAGAACCTATAACCAACTTACTAATAGTAATAAGCAAGGAATTAAAGTACACCACTAGACAAAAGCAGCTATCCACAAATGACAATTCTAAGAGAAAGATAGGGATTATAATAAAAATACAAAATAGGTATCAAAATAGCAATAATAAGATACTATCTATAAATAATTACTTTAAATATCAGTGAACTAAATTCTCCAATCAAAAGGCCAACGGGTAAAGCAGCCACCTGCAGTACCAGCATCCCATATATGGGTGCCAGTTCATATTCTGGATGGTTCACTTCTGATCCAGCTCTCTGCTATGGCCTGGAAAAACAATGGAAGATGGCCTAATTCCTTGGGCCCCTGCACCCACATGGGAGACCTGGAAGAAGCTCCTGGAAGAAGATCCCATCCCCTGGCCTCCGCCTCTCTGTAACTGTGCCTTTCAAATAAGTAAATAAGTAAATCTTAAAAAAAAAAAAAAAAAGACATAAGAGTGGGGCTGACACTGTTTCATAGAGAGTAAAGCCACTACCTGCAGTGCCCGCTTCCCATATGGGAGACAGTTTGATTCCCAGATGCTCCACTTCAGATCCAACTCTCTGCTATGGCCTAGGAAAGCAGTGGAAGATGGCCCACATCCTTGGGCCCCTGCACCCATGTGGGAGACCCAAAAGAAGCTCCTGGCTCCTGGCTTTGGATTGGCCCAGCTCTGGCCATTGCAGCCATTTGGGGAGTGAACCAGCTGGTGGAAGACCTCTCTCTCTCTCCGCCTCTGTAACTCTGCTTTTCAAATAAATAAATAATTTTTTAAAAAAAGACATGAAGTAACAAAATAGGTTTAAAAACAGGACCCAGCTTGTTGTGGGACACAGCAAGATTAAAAACACAGCAAGATTTTTGAGGTCAAATTAGGAGTCTTTATTAGCCAGCTGTCGACTTCCCTCTCACAGAGAGACAAGACAGCCCCGAGTTGCAGTGGTGGGGGGTTTTAAAGGCAAAACTTACGTTTTATCAGACATTTGGTTATGTGTGTGAGCTTGTGCAAGCAGAAAGCAGGCATACAGAAGCGAGAAGCAGCTAGCAAATCAGTTAGGTTTTTTGTAACCTTAATGAAAAATGTAACGATTCAATTATTCAGTTGTTCCTGGTCTGGGTCAAGCATGGTGTCACTGATCTTGGTGCCACCTGTGTTATCTTGTGGCTGTAGCCGGGAGTAGACAAGAGAAACCATGGTCTGGTGGCCTTGGCCATTATCAAGCAAGCAGAGGTACAGAAGCTAGAAATGGGCCAGTTACAAACTAACATTTATTTTTATGAAGAACAGGGTTTGTTTTAAAACAATCAAACAAAATAACCTATTGTCTATAATCATCTCAGTGTGCTATACTTTGTAGACAAGTTCAACTTTGAGTCCCTTGTCACAGGCTATACACTGCTTCCAAGCAACTCACTTCACCTCTCAGCTCATACATATACTGAAAGTGAAAGGATAGAACAAGACATTTCATGCAGATGAAACTGAAATGCAAGCAGAAGTAGACATACTTCTATCAGATAAAATAGATATTTAAAGCAGTAAAAAGAGACCAGGTGATAAGGGCTCAATCCAGCAAGAGGATATAACACTAATCAATGAATATGCACTGAATATTGGATCACCCAAACACATAAAGTAAATATTGATAGACCTAAAGATAGAGGTAGACATCAATACAATAATTTTAGGGAACATTAACACCAAGTGTCATAAATGGACAGATCATCTAGACCAAAAATCATCAAAGAAATAGATGAGTTAAATCACACTCCATCAATTGGCACTAACGTACATATATAGGATCTTCCACCCTACACCTGCAAAACACATTCTTCTCAACAACACATGAATCATTTTCCAGGATTGATCAAGACTCTACAAATTTAAAAGAATAGAAATCATACTGAGTGTTTTTCCTAAATAAAAAAACCTTTAGAAGTTACATGAATACATGGAAATTAAATAACTTACTCCTGAACAATCAGTGAATTTTAAATTTCATGAAATGGATGAAAATAGAAACACATCATGCCAAAACCTATGGAATACAGCCAAAGTATTACTAAGACGGAAGTGTATAACAAATAATAGCTGCATAAAAAAATCAGAATGATCTCAAATAAACAACTTATCATTGCACTTCAAGGAATTAGAAACACAAGAACAAATCAAATCCAAAACTGATATAAGGAAAGAAATAAAACTCAGAACACAAATAAATAATTTAGGGACTAAAAATAATGCAAAATAATAATTAAGTGAAGAGCTGGTTCTTCAAAAAGATAGCTAAAAATGATAAACCCTTAGCTACACTAAGAAAAAAAAAAAAAAAAGAGGGGCCGGCACTGTGGCATAGTGAGTTAAGTCACTGCCTACAAGGCCAGCATCCCACATGTGTGCCAATTCAAGTGTCAGCTGCTCCACTTCCAATCCATCTCTCTGCTAATACGCCTGGGAAAGCAGAAGATGGTCTAAGTGCTTGGGTCCCTGCACCCACTTGGGAGACCTTGAAGAAGATCCTGGCTTCTGGCCTTTTTTTTTTTTTAAGATTTATTTTATTTATTTGAAAGACAGAGTAACAGAGAGAGGTAGACAGACAGAGAGGTCTTCCATCCGCTGACCCATTTCCCAGATGGCAGCAACAGCTGGAGCTGTGCCAATCTGAAGCCAGGAGCCAGGAACTTCTTCCAGGTCTCCCACATTGGTGCAGGAGCCCAGGGACTTGGGTCATATTCCACTGCTATACCAGGCCATACCAGAGAGCTGTATCAGAAGAGGAGCAGCCTGGACTAGAACTGGTGCCCATATGGGATGCCGGCGCTTCAGGCCAGGGTTTTAACCCTCTGTGCCGCAGTGCCAGGCCCCCCAATTCATTTTTTAAAGCCAAGTTTACCTAGATACTAAAACCATACAAGGACACAACAACAACAGCAACAACAAAAACAGACCAATACCTTTGATAAAAGCAGATGCAAAAATCCTGAACAAAAGGCATCAAATTGAATCCAACAGCACATTAACAAGATCATTGATTGTGATCAAGTGGGATTCTTCCTAGGTATGCAAGGATGGTTCAACATATGCGAATCAGTAAGTGTGATATACCACAACAGAATGAAGGACAAATAGTAAAGGATCTTCTCAATAGATGCAGAAAGGCACTTAAGAAAACTCAAGGTAGTTTCATAATGAAAGCCCTGACCAAATTAGGTATGTATAACAAACCAATAGCTAACATATTGAATGAGGAAAGTTGAAAGCTTTCTCTCTAAGATTTGGAACAAAACAAGGATATCCACTTACACTAATTTTATTCAATGTAGTACTGGTAGTTCTAGCTACAGTGATAAGGCAAAAGCCAAAAATAAAAGGAATCTAAATTGGAAAGGAGGAAATGAAGTGCTCATTGTTTGCAGCTGATGTGATATTACATATAGAAAATGCCAAAGACTCCACCAAAAATGGCTAGGGCTAGCCCAAGGCAGAAGCTAAGTGTCTGGAACTCCAATCCATGGTCTCCCACATAGGTGACAGGAACTCAAGCACTCTAGCCATCTTCTGCTGCTTTCCCAGGGGCATTAACAGGGAACTGGATCAGACGTCAAGCAGCCAAGACTCGGATTGGCACTCATACGGGATGCCAGATGCACAGGCAGCTTAACCCACTGCACCGCAACACCAGCAGCAAGACTTGAAACTTTGAGACCATGAGAAGACAGCAAAGGGAAAACACTTCAGGACATTGAAGTAGACAAGGATTTCCTGAATCAGATCCCGAAAGTGCAGGAAACAAATGCCAAAATAGATAAATGAAATTTCATCAAAGAATCAACAGAGCAAAGAGACAACCTACAGAATGAAGAAAATATTTTCAAGGTACTTATCTGATTGGGGATTAATATACAGAATATATAACAAACTGAAACAACTCAGTAGCAAAAAAAATTCCAAAGAATCCAATTTAAAAATGGGCAATAAATCTAAACAGACATTTATCAGAGGAAAACATGAATATCAAACATATACATGAAGAAATACTCAACATCACTAATCATTAAGGAAATGAAAATTAAAACCATATGAGATATCACAGTAAGATTGGCTACTATCGAAAAGACAAAGGGTAACAAGTGTTGGTGAGAATGTGGAAAAAAGGAAACCTATGTGCACTGTTGGTGGGTGTGTAAATCAGCACAACTATTTTGGAGAACAGTATGGAAGTTCCTCAAAAAACTAAGAATAGATCTACCATATGATGTAGCAATCCTATTATTAGGTATGTGTCCAGGGGAAATCGAAAGCATTTGTAAAAGAGACATCTGCACTCCCATGCCTATTGAAGCACTATTCACAATAACCAAGAAAGGAAAACAACCTGAGTGTCTATCCCCCAATGAATGGCTAAAGAAAATATGCTATGAGACTGGTGCTGTAGCAAAGTGGGTAAAGCCACTACCTGCAGTGCTGGCATCCCATATGGGCACCAGTTTGAGTCCCAGCTGCTCCACTTCTGATCTGGCTCTCTGCTATGGCCTGAGAAAGTAGTGGAAGATGGCCCAAATTCCTGGGCCCCTGCACACTCATGGGAGATCTAGAAGCTTCTGGCTCCTGGCTTTTGGAATGTCCCAGCTCCAGCCGTTGTGGTCATTTGGAGAATGAACCAGCAGATGGAAGATTCTCTCTCTTTCTCTCTCTCTCTCTCTGTAACTCTGTATTTTTTTTTTTTTTTTTTTGACAGACAGAGTTAGACAGTGAGAGAGAGAGACAGAGAGAAAGGTCTTTCTTCCGTTGGTTCACCCCCCAAGTGGCTGCTACAGCCAGTGTGCTGCGCCGATCTGAAGCCAGGAGCCAGGTACTTTTCCTGGTCTCCCATGCAGGTGCAGGGCCCAAGCTCTTCAGCCATTCTCCGCTGCCCTCCCGGGCCACAGCAGAGAGCTGGACTGGAAGAGGAGCAGCCGGGACAGAATCTGGCGCCCTGACCAGGACTAGAACCTGGGGTGCCAATGCAACAGGCGGAGAATTAGCCAAGTGAGCCGCAGCGCTGGCCAACTCTGTATTTCAAATAAATAAATAAACATAAACACAACAGAACATTACTCAACTTTAGAAAGGGTGAAATCTTGTGATTTACAACAACATACATGAAACTGGGGGTCATTGTATTAAAGAAGCCAAGCATAAAAGACAAATATCACATGATCTCATGAATATCTGGAGTCTAAAAAATATCTGAAGTCTAACTCATAGAAGTTAAAAATATAATGATGGTTACCAGAAGTTCAGGAGGGAAAATGAGGAGGGAGGAATGGGAAAAGGTTGATTGATGGGTATTAGGCTATGGCTAGAGAGGAGTACAAAGTTTTGCTTTCCATTTCACAGTAGAGTGGCTATAGATAATGTTAATCTACAGCATATTTCTCTATATTTAAAAACTAGGTGATAATATTTAAGATGCTCTCATTATAAAAAATGTTAAATGTTTGAAAGGATTAATATATTTACCCTGATTACTTATCATACAATGTATATATGTAACAAAATATCTTATAGTGCCCCAATAATATGCACAATTTTTGTATGTCTTTTATAATTGTTTAAAAATTTAAAAAGATTATATAAGGCAATATCAATACATAAAGGAAGTCACTAGTGAGAGAATTGAGAAAACCTTCTTTATAGTCACAGAAACATACTTATCCTCAGATTACCCAAAGGTTAAACAGAGGAAATATTCAGACTTCAACACTGAACTCCCAACTGTGCTTCTTTTTCTATAGGCAAAGTCCCTGGAAAAATAAAAATAGGAAAATTAGCTAGGAATCAGGTCAGAGGCCCTCCATCGTATTTTGAACTTAACGGCCTGTTTTTCATTTGCTCTAATGGCTCTATATTCCCTTGAGCTCACTTTTCAGAGGGAATGGAGGCTACCATTTTTAAATGTAGTTGCCTGTGTTGCATATAAAACTGCAGCCTTTTCCTTTCTATATAAATGAAGTGAAAAATGAACGATGGGTTTGCGATCCAGTGAAGCAAGTCAGGAATGTTTGTCCCACTGAGGAGAGGCTGAGTCTGCTTTCAGGCATTGCATCAAGTAGCGCACATCTTTTTCTTGACTCTAGGTAGGAAAAAAGGATGTGCCCAAATGCTGGACAGCCTCAAGAGCAGCTCCTGGGTTCATCTTTACTGGATACAGAAACCCAACTCCAGCTCCGGAACACGAAGGAATCCCATCCTTTCCCCTCTGCCATCCTCTTCACTCCTACCCTGGCAGTCACAACACAAGCAAGTGAGGCAGGTTCAAACAATCAGATGCTCTTGCTTAGGACTCTGAATTTTAAATAAGTAAAACAAAGAAAACAGGGCAGTTAGGCTCCATCTGGAGTAATGGTGACAGTTTCTGTAGCAAAATCACAGCCAGATGTTTACTGTGTTGCCTACCTCCTGACCCTCTGCAGCAGCCCTGGTTCTTGTCCTTTTGTCAAAATTTTCTTTCCTGAAACCTCCTATTGTCCTGTAGCTCTCAATATCCTTCACAAAAGATATCTTTTTGTTTAAGATTACTATAAAAGTAATTTTTGCAATAAAAGGCAACCTATCTGATAATACCAGTCAAACAGGCAAAGGGGTACAGAAATTCTAATCCCAGTGGGGGATCAGACGGCTAACCAGGAGCCTGATGTCAAAGCTGTCACAGAGAGTTAACAGGAAGGTCAAGATCAGTAAGCAGACAAGTAGTTTGGGCCTCTTCAAAGGAGTAGTAACGCTTTAATAGTTCAGCTGTTGAAGATAAGGGTTCACCGTACTTCCTCTTTCTGGCCACAAGGGTCTCAGGAAACAGCTACTGCTGAATCTGCTAGGACAAAACCATCGAACACCAATCTCCATGAGAACAGAACCAGAGCAACCAGAAAGCAGGAGACACACACAATGCACATGGCTGTGACTAATCACTGATGAAAATCCTAGAGCTGGCAAAATGAATAAGGTCAAGAATATCATGGAGGGAAGGCTCTACTAAGAGAAAGGGGTTTTTTTTTCTTCAAGACAGAAGCAAAATTCGGAAAGATGAGAAGAGGCCGCAGGGTTGGAGAGAGGAATGTGTGAGGCAGGTTATACTGGTGGCTTCCATTTTCTTTGTGAAATAGGTTGCCAGGACATCTGGCTCAGAATGAAGGAGAAAGAAAATGGGTAAAAGGCTAAATAATAGGGATGAGTTTGGAATAGTTAATACCAGGGGAAAACATGAATTAGATCATTGATTGGTACTCAAGTCCACAAACTGAGGTATATACAGTTTGATTATGTGCTTTTTCTCTAGCAACATCCTTCCCAGAAGCACTTGCTGTTGGCCTTCTGCATCTGTGGTTCCACATCTGTGCACTCAACCAACCTCAGATGGAAAATATTGAGGGAAAAATTGTATCTGTACTTAATACGTACAGACATTTCTTCTTGTTATTATTACTAAAAAATATAGTATGACAACCATTTACATAGCATTTGCATTGTATTAGGAATTGTAAGTAATGTAGAGATGATATAAAGTAAATGGAAGGATGTGTGTATGTATGTACAAATACTATGCCATTTTTATAAGGACTTGAGTATCTGCACATTTTGGTATCTATAGGGGGTCCTGGAGCCAATCTTCCATGGATACAAAAAGAAAACTGTAATGGCCAAATCATTCAAAAGTAAAGGACTAAGAAAATTATTAGAAGGCCAAAGGGAAGAGAACCAAGAAGGTTCTGATAAGAGGGCAATTAGGATATCAAAACATAGTTTCTGGGGTGGGCATTATGGAACAGGGGGTTAAATCACTGCTTGGGATGCCCACATCCCACACCCCAGGCTGATTTGAGTACTGACTACTCTTCTTCTAATCCAGTTTCCTGATAATGCACCCTGGGAAGGGAGTGGAAAATGGCTCAAGTACTAGGGCTACCATCACCCACATGAGAGACCTGAATGGAGTTCCTGACTCCTGGCTTTGGCCTGGCTCAGCCCTGGCTTCTTGGTTGATGCAGGCATTTAGGGAGTAAACCATTGATGGAATCTCTGTCCTCTGTCCTCTCTCCTCTCTCTCTGTTCTTCCTTTCAAGTAGATGAAAGTAAATAAATAAACATTTTTTAAAAATAGATTCTGCTGGTTTAAGGAGGTGAAATAGGAAGGAACTAAACAAAAAGGAAACCAGGAAGTAAGCCAAAACTGGAAGGATGTGATGGGGTGGAAAAACAGGTTCTGTCAAGAAGGAAGTGGGAGGTGGGAGAAGTGACAGAGATAGAGTTTTGTGGTCAGAAAATGAATAGCAGATTTTATGAGAATGTGACTTTAGAAGCAAGCACTGGGGAGAAACAGAGGTAAGGGTTATTAGGAAAGTTCATTGGACCTGATGTAAGGATGTCAGACACAATATCTTAAGAATATTGTATGCGAGTTGATGACAGCAATTGGGTAGAGAAGACACATATCTATTGGGTGTCAATCCCCTAAATGAAAGCAAAACAATGATCTAAGAGTCAAGAGATGATTGTGGGAAGAAAGCAGCTAATCTGAGAGGCGTGATTCTACAAGAAAGTGTGATACAGCACAAAGAAGTAGTACAAAAATATCTAAATCATTTTGTTTTAAAGAAATGCTTTAATTATCATAACTGGAAGGCCAGAGGTGGAATGGATTTCAAGGGTTGTTTCTTTAAGGACCCAACCCTGAGACCAATGTTCTGGTGCAGTGGCCTGGGCTGCCTCGTGCAAAGCCAGCATCCCATCTTGGCTCCGGTTCAAGTTCTGGCTGCTCCACTTCCAATCCCACTACCTGCTAATGTGCCTGGGAAAGCAGTGGAAGATTATCTAAGTACTTGGGCCCCTGCCATCCACATGGGAGATCCAAATGAAGTTTCTGGCTCCTGGCTTCAACTGTCCTAGCTCCAGCCATTGTGGCCATTTGGGGAATGAACCAGAGGATGAAAGATTGCTCTCTCTGTGTCTCTCTGTCTCTTCCCCCTCTCTCTGTAACTCTGTCTTTCAAATAAATAAATAAATAAAATAAGACTCAACCATTATATCAAACTTCAAGTTGTTTTGTATTTTATGCTCAGCCCAGAGCTTAATCTTAACTTGACCTTGAAATATTAAGATGGCTTCCAGTAGCAATCAAATCATGTGTTCCCTGTTCACATTCAGCAAATGACAGAGAAACAGGTTTTACATCTAGTACTTTCAAAACACTCCAAGGAGGCTTCTCATTTCACTGAATGGAACTGGGTCACATACCAACTTCTAAAACGATCACAGATAAAAAACAAATAGCACTTCTTCTAAACAAGAAATACCCAACCTCTGAGCTGAGTCCAACTCCCCATATTACATCTTTGCTTCTCAACAGGGAAACACAGGAATAGGTGTTGGAAGATGATCTACCATAATCTCCAACACACATAAGCAGTTGTGACTACAAAATTTCTTCAACATCTTCCTTGAAGTCCGAAATGGATAAAAAGTAATGACTTCAATTCTTTGGCTAACAAAGTTTTGACTTTCTTTTATTTTCTTTTCTTTTCTTTTATTTTATTTTATTTATTTTGACAGGCAGAGTGGACAGTGAGAGAGAGAGACAGAGAGAAAGGTCTTCCTTTGCCGTTGGTTCACCCTCCAATGGCCGCCGCGGACGGCGCACCACGCTGATCCGATGGCAGGAGGAAGGTGCTTCTCCTGGTCTCCCATGGGGTGCAGGGCCCAAGCACTTGGGCCATCCTCCACTGCACTCCCTGGCCACAGCAGAGAGCTGGCCTGGAAGAGGGGCAACTGGGACAGAATCCGGCGCCCCGACCGGGACTAGAACCCGGTGTACCGGCGCCGCAAGGCGGAGGATTAGCCTAGTGAGCCGCGGCGCCGGCCTAGTATTAGTAGACACTAGTCTTGTTTGTGTGATCCCTTTGACTCTTAGACCTATCAGTGTGATCAATTGTGAACTGAAGTTGATCACTTGGACTAGTGAGACGGCATTGGTACATGCCACCTTGATGGGATTGTATTGGAATCACCTGGCACGTTTCTAACTCCACCATTTGGGGCAAGTCTGATGGAGTATGTTCCAAATTGTACATCTCCTCCATCTCTTATTCCCACTCTTATATTTAACAAGGATCATTTTTCAAATGCCCACATTCTATTAAAGAATCAAGTTTACACTGGTGCCACGGGACACATTACTCAATTCATAAAAGTACACAGGAACAGAATCCAAAATTGCACTCCATTCTATAAAAAACTGCAGCAGTTTCGTGGGGGTCCCTTGCTGAGACTCAATAGAGTGCTATGGTCTGCACCAATACTGCAGAGATTCTGCTACACCTATGCATCTTAAGTAATACATTGCTTCCTGCAGACCATAAATGACACTTAAAGACAACTGCAGCAGTCATAGAAACAATGAATAGGTGTCATCTTTAAAAATCAACCAATGCTGATAGAAATACAAGACTTCAACGCTGTGGCATAGTGGGTAAAGCTGCCGCCTGCAGTGCCAGCATCCCATATGGGTGCTGGTTTGAGTCCCAGCTGCTCCACTTCCAATCCAGCTCTCTATTGTGGCCTGGGAGAGCAGTGGAAAATGGCCCAAGTCCTTGAGCCCCTGCACCCACATGGGAGACCTGGAAAAAGCTCCTGGCTCCTGGCTTCAGATTGGCACGGCTCTTACCGTTGCAGCCAATTAGGGAGTGAGCCAGCAGATAGAAGACCTCTCTCTCTCTCTCTCTGCCTCTACTTCTCTCTCTGTGTAACTCTG